ATACACACAAGTACATATGCACTTAAACACACACGGAGGAAGAACCGAGGGTAACGGAAGACTGACAAAGAACACCCATTCACGCATCCACACTAAAATGCTTGCGGCGTGTATAACCGATTTGCATGGTTTCACTGATGAGCAGACTGAAGGTTTAAAGACCAGCCCTCCCCGTCCCTGCCAAGACCTGAGGCGCTCACCTTCTGGCGCTGCTGGATGTTGGCCACGGTGTCGGGCTGGAAGTCCAGCTTGTCCGTGCGGCACAGTTTCCAGTAGAGGATGACCACGATCACCATGACGACGAGCACCGGGATGACCACGCCCACGATGACCCACAGGTTGTTGCTCTGGGCCTCTGGGGACGGCCTCTTCACCCTGTCCAGAGCTACAGGCAAGGGAGAGAAGGTTCCATACGACCTGACCTCCAAAGACCTCCTTGGGAGAGCACCGAGGCCCTCCCCTGGGGGCCAGGACCAGCAGGCTGCTTCATTTTGTGAAACTGTTATGGTTTTGTTTGGGGGGGGGCTTTTCATTTGTAAAGTGGCCACTTCGCTTCAAACGTCCTGCTGTGCTGTTGCGGGATGGTGTCTGTGCAGGGCCTTTCTCGTTGTGAATGTCTGACTCAAACTCACTACCACAAAGTCAATTCCACTGAGGAGGCCCCTACAGGACAAGGCCGAACGCCCCGTGGCTTTCTGTAACTCTTCGTGGGACTAGAAAGCCTCATCTTTCTCCTGCACAGCCCCCGGTGGTTTCCAACAGCTGACCGCGGTTGGCAGCCCAACGTGTAGCCCACTCCACCTCCAGGGACCTAACTCACAACATGAGACAAAGACCCTCAAAGGCGGGGTGACACAAAGGCAACAGCAAGGGTTCAAACACAAAAAGTTCGTGTCCCATCATCTTTTTGTCCTGTTCCTTCTTGCCTCCTTGGTTTGGTTTAGGGCAAATGTCACCGTTCCAGGCTTGTACGGTTTTTCAATCTGTGTGCTGAGCAAATAATTAGAGAAGCTGCATTATATGAAGAAGAGTGCAGCATCAGGATTGGAAAAAGGCTTATTTTAAAACTGCGCTACACAGATGACATAACCCTGCTTGCTGAAAGAGGAACTGAAGTACTTGCTGATGAAAATCAGGACTGCAGCCTTCTGTATGGATTATGACTCAATGTAATGAGCAAAATCCTCACAACTGGACATCATGATAAACGGAGAAAAGATGGAAGTTGTCAAAGATTTTACCTTGCTTGGATCCACAATCAATGCTCATGGAATCAGCAATCAGGAGATCAAAAGATATGTTGTGTTAGGAAAATCTGCTACGAAAGATCTCTTACTGAGGGTATTGAAAACCAAGGTTACTTTGAGGACTAC